GTAAAACCCCCCAACAAAAACTGATATCATTGGTCTGCAGCCTAGACTATCCACTGTTCAGTCTTGAACCAGTGACGAGCTTATGGCTCATCTCGTGACTCTGTAATGCTACTAAAGGGACCTCCAGACTTTTGGACAGGGTTGATTTCCATCTGTCCAGTAGAAGATAACATGGACTTTAGATATTTCAACTTATTTTAGAGTTGTTTAAAATTTGCTGTTTTTCCTCTCCCAGAGATGTCTGCTAAATTGGGACTGTTAGATGAAGTCAGCTTGACTTGGCAAGCGGAACGGGATCCAAAAGTAGTACCAATAAAATAAAAAAGTCCTTCACCCTTTTCTCTAAAGCGCTCCACAAACAGAGTTTCTGTAGCAGATGTGGTGTATATACAGAACGCATTCATGATGCAGCACGGCTAGGTAGGTTTTATTGACACTTATCTAGGATAACCTGCATAATTTTACTCAAGACTTGCCACTCGCGAGGAACGCGCTCTTTCCAGACTCATGCCAATAAAACCATTTTATTGCATCTCACCACTGTATATTTGTTGTTTGTCTGTCCATAAAATGAGTATGCGTGGTAAGCAATAATAAGAGGTTCCTTACTTGGATGGATGAAGTTAATATTCAGTAGAAACAGAGCTTTGGTGAGTTTCCAGATTACTTCCAGAATTTCTCTGAGGGGATGTTACAGCATCATAAACCTTTGGGTGGGTGAACTGCCTAATGTAACCTGCACATATTTATTGCCCCCATCATGCGCTCTCTATTTTATGTACTACACAATGTAATCTTTTGTTGTTATATAATAAACAAAATAAAAACTGTTGTTTGTCACAGCCAGCTTGTTTTTCAAAGCATTTGTTCTCTTTGAAAGTTCAATCTGTGTGATCTTCAGCCCTGTCAGAATATATTATTTTGAGTCTTTTAAATTGCTAAACTGGAGGACAAACCTAGATGTTATCTTCAGTCTCGGCTGAAGGTGGAACGTGAGCTAAGCAGATCCTGCAGTGAGTAGACACTGGTGACATGCACAGCGCCATTATTGTGTGTCAAAAACATGTCCAGATTATCAACTTCCAAAGCTATGTGTGTTGGTTGACTTGAACATTTGTATATTTGCATAATTTTCAAATTGGTTTGAAATCTGTGGATTCCACTTGGGGCTTGTTCATTTATTTTTTTTTCCTTCTTTGGGTGCAGCATTCAGAAGGTGGCCTGTTTTCTCTCTCCCCTCCCCCCCAGTTTGTACCGTATGTAATTCTGTCATAATGCAGGTATACAAAATAATGAAATGTAATAAATCATGGACAATTACTGAAGCATTTAGAAAGAGCAGGCAGACCATTATTACAGACTAGTCAGAGGGGACCAGCAGGCACCGGGGGAGTCCCTGTTCCCCCGAGCACTACCAGGATTGACCAGAAATACCAGTCACACGCTGGCAGAGGGTAGATTCAGGCTAGATATCAGGAGGCCCGACTTCACTGTCAGGGCGGCTAGGATCTGGAACCAACTTCCAAGAGAAGTGGTGCTGGCTCCTACCCTGGGGGTATTTAAGAGGAGGCTTGATGTACACCTTGCTGGGGTCGTTTGACCCCAGTGCTCTTTCCTGCCATGGCAGGGGGTCGGACTCGATCTGCTCAGGTCCCTTCCGACCCTAGAAAATATGAAACCATGAAACATTAGATTTCTCTTAAAATGCTAGGTTTTATATAGAGACGTGGTATATATCACAGTTTGCCTTAACCCAGGAAGAGACATTAATATATGGGATGCAGTAGCTCTGAATTCAAAGTGTTTCTTTTGCTGAGCAAAGTCCTGATTAACTGCAGTACGTGGGTGGGTTACAGATGTGGTGTGGGGACATGCATGTTAAAAGTTGGATAAAGTACTTTGGTTATCTGCTTTTTTGAAGCTGTTCATTTGAGCATTAATGCCCGGTCCCACCCCAGCCTTAAAAACAGCTGTGTTCCTTACTGATGACACGCTACAATATTCAAGCCCTCCCTGGTTAATCAGACAGCAGAAGGAGCTAGTATCTGTAGCCATGGCAGCCAATAATTTATTGTTCCATATGGCTGGTGTGGCAGCAGCTGCTCTGCTTTAAGGTCAGGGCATTATGGCACTTAAAAAAACCCAACCCCCCGTAAAATCTTTCCTTACTGCCTTGTACAGTAATAACTAGAGGTCTCTATAGAGATGATGATGTGATCAGCCAAGGGAGATAAATTAGCTTATTTAAAAAAAAAATCAATGACATGATTCTCTCGGGAAACTAAGTTGACACGATCTGTCTGTGTGTGGTAGTTTTGACTCTTCAGTTTTCACTGTTGGTGTGTATTGATAGTGCATGTTAGATGTGGTGGGCCACATCTTGCTGATTAAATTGGGGAGTAGCTTTTGAAGTTGCTGGAGACCTAGTAATATTAAAAAAAAAAAAAAAAAAAGGGGGGGGGGGGG